ATTTATTGTGTAATATTTAGTTCATTAAAATATAATTACGTCATAATTCAATTTTGATAAAATTACTTTTCTAAAAGTTTCTAGAGGTATATTAATTTTTTTTTACAAATCACAGAATAGATTCATATATTCGTGTGTTTAAATATTAGGATTTCAAAAATAATATTTAGTTAACTTTTTCTTCAAATATTAATTTATCAAAAATTTCCTCAAACCAATTAAACAACTTCATAACTTATAAAATTAATTACCTATAAAAATACTAAACTTCTTCATCTAAGAAAATAAAATTGTCTCATTAACATTTTTATTACCTTTTTTGATTATAAAACCAAAATTGATGTTTTTCGTTGTCTTTATTAGTAATTTATTTTGTTTACTTTGTTTACTTTGTTTTGTAAATAGAAGATATCATAAAAAACAATCTATTATTTATGTTATAGCACGTAAACCCTTCAGTAGTAGGTTTTTAATTTTTATGTTTCTTCATTTAATAGAGAATTATGTATTTTAAATTGACTAATTTAATGCTTACAAGCTTTTAAAGACTCTATTGAAAATACAATATAAGTAGAATTTTAATTAATATAATAACATGATACTAATTAAAGGCATGCCTTTTTAGCACTCGACTTTTACCCGGTACTCGGTTTATGAGCATAGTTTTATTCGACTTTTCCTCGGTACGAGATTCACAAGTACAAATATTTTATGTTTATTCTATGAAATAATAAAAAAGTTGTTTATTTAATTAATTAAATTATGTTCAATAATTATATTTTTATCACTTTATAACTAGTTATTATTTCAATTAATACTTGGAAGTTTTAAGTACAATTCATTTTATTAAAATTCTCTAAACAAAACTTACATGATAGAGAATTCCTGTGCATAGGCAAATGGTGGAAAACAAATTTGTAGAAAGCTAAATGTTAATTACTCGATCTTTTAAATATATTCTATTAAAAATACATTTGACATTTTAACTTTTAGAGGGAAATTTATAAATTTCTAATATGTAGGTTAAGCTACCAACCCTATCCCTATATTTTTGCGTTAAATTTAATGAGAGGGAATAATAGTATACTAATAAATATTAGTATAAAATCCTCCTCATTAAAGTTTAAGGTATTCTTGACCATTTTTTTTCATTCATGAACACTGTAACAAATGATCTAAAAATTCCCATACATCAGTTAATATTTTTAATATACACTTTTAATTTTACACACAAGTAACGTAATTTTGACATTAAGTATTGAAAAATTCTACTCAAATATAATATTTTTAACACTATTTAACAAAAATTTCTTTTACATTGTATGCGTTAAATACTTTCAATACATGTATGTGAAAAATATATTGTTTTGTTTAAGTGTGTAGAAAACTTAACTACATAGCTTATACTTGGATTATAAACACATCTTCATCCGGCTTTTACTCTGTTAGGTTTGTACATACTATATTTCCCGAAATATTTCTAATACTTATACAAACAAACAAATAATTAAATAAAAATCATTAATAAAACGAATAAATAAATAAAAAGTAGCTATCATATTTATCTAAAAAAGGACATATCTGTACTTATAAAAATATTAAATTAAAAAATCGAACAAAAATGATCCTATAACATGAATTATTTACTTCGTTTTGCAAATACATTCTAAAATAATAAAAAAATTCTGAGCTCCAAGATTAAAACATCTTTAAATATATCTAGTGTTTAGGTTTTTCACAAAAAAATTAAACAGCTGTCAAAACTATTGAGAAAAAAATAATATTTTAAATTATATAATGTGAAGTTATATGCTGTATTGTTATTTTTTAAGTTGTTACTATAGTAATAACAGTTTTTAAATCATCAGTCTAAAAAAAAACAGAGGTTGAAAACATAATTGGAAAAATTGCTATATATATGTAACAATTTTGTTTGTGAAAATATTATTTACGTAGATATATCTACATAAATAATAAGTAGTATAGTTTTTATTATTATATAAACGTATTTACAATTTTTTTGCATATTGCGATCTAAAAGAGATACCCAGTAAACTCACCTGACTACTATCTTTGATATACGATTTTGTTTATAGCTTATTTTTAATTCGAAATAACCTTACAATATGTTGATAATGTAGACAGTTTTATACTCACATTGAAATAATATTAATTTAATCCTTTCAAAACAAATGTATAATAATTTTCTCTGTTTTTGTTAACCATTCAATACTGTTTAAAAATAATTTTGACGAATCAACATTTGTTTCATCAGAATAATAAATAAATAATAATAGAATAATATAATAAAACAAGATTTTAGAAAATAATTCAAGATTTTCGTTGCTGTTCGATTTAATTCGTGAATTATATTTTAATAATCAATTACTATGAAATTATAACAATATATATCTATTGAAAATGTTTTCGTTGTTATACAGGACTAACGTTTACATAACATCAAATTACCACTACAAACCGTCAGTTCGCACAATACTCCATGATGATTTATGACCAAAAGTAGTACAATTTTACAGGCCATGTCAACATAGCGTATTAATTAAAATTAAATGCTTAACAAAACTATCAAAATAAAATACTATAGAACGTTTGTAACACCGTTAGTACCAAAGTGTAAACCAATTTTTTAACAAGTAACAACTAATGTGTACTCACCTTTTAAGAAAACAGTCCTTTCATATAATAATTATATTGTGAATTATAATAAAATGTAAGAATTACTGTTTAAATGAGTGTAATTATTTTACAATTCCAATTGCACAACTACAAAAATATACATTTAGCTCTATTATAACAGCTACAGTTTCAACGACGAAACACTACGAAAGAATTCTGCATTATTAAAACTATAGAACTGTAAATAAAACCATTAAACTTTTAACAGTGTATTAAGTTCTTCACTTCCTACTAAAAAATTGTATTGTTTTTAAAGTACAAGTATTAATTTAAACTTAATTGAGTTTTTTTTAAATAAATTAAAAAATTTATTCAGAAATTAGTGGATATGAAATTTTGAACTTGGTGCTTTCAAATAGCATATAAATGTAAATGTTACACATTTTTCTAAAAACCTATAGATAATTAGTGTAATCAAATATTTTGATATATATTTATAATTAAGTTATAAAAAAATTACTTTATAACTTACATTTCATGGCATGCGATTTTTGTAATTAATTTACACATGAAGTATGGATGGAAAAATAAAACAAAATATTGTTCATTTTTTAATTAAAGCGAACATTATTCAATATTTTTGTGTTTAAATATTATAAAATGTTTATTCAAAGTATTTTATTTCTGTGATACTGCATTTGATTAAAAATTTCATTTATTTGCAGTAAAACATTATCAAAGGAATAAGTTGCTTCGATTATGAATTCTTGAAATTCAAACCAATTAAATTATTACACAATTTGTAAAATATCTGATATTCGTTTTTTTTATTTGAAGTTTAAATATATCTGTTTTTTTTCAAATTATAAAACATCTTTTAGTCGCATATTACAATTTATAAAATATTTTATAGGATATTGCTATTTTTGGTAGTATTTTTCTCAGTGGATTCCTCAGCTGTGCAAATGATGTACTTTATTTTACTTTATGAGTTTTCTCATAAAACTAAAACGCTAAGTCGAGGTCTGGATTAATTCCGTAAAAACGACGCGGTCTCTGGCGGCACTTGGTACTAATTGTAACCCATAGAAAAAATAAAAATGGGTAAATTCTCGGAACCCAGTGATGTACAAGCAACGGACCGAGACGTCTCGTTTGCTCTTACGGCCTAGTAATTATAATTAATGCAAATTGCAATGATAATAAATTATTATGAATAACCGGAGAAGAGTCATAAATCACACCGGCATTACAATTCAAACTTATACACGAGTATATTTGACACAAACCCGAACATAGAGTAGAGGAATAAAAAATATAAATGAACGTGTACATCTTCTACTATGATAATCAACGTACAATTATCACCGTATCAACTCTATCTCTCTTAATGTGAACCCGTTGACGGAATGTATGAACGACATAAAATCGAGGGTAAATAGCGTGCGATCGTTTTCAGTGAATACTCAGCCGTTTACTTTATTCGTGGCCTCAGTCTTTCGGTAAAAAATCGAAATATAAAAAACAAAAAAAAAGAAATAGTGTGCAAATACTATCCTTAGAAAGCGTTATACTTCAAACGGTGGCAGAACTAATAGTCCCCTTATGGATAAAAAATAAAAGACACGTGGTTTAAACAAAGGGTTGAACGAACCCAAAATCGTTTTACTCATATGGGTATATTTTTTTGGAGTTTGCCATTTTAAATTTATTTTTTGTTGATTTTATTCCTTATAGTCAACCACTTAGAAATAACTAGAAACTTTAAATATTTACGAGAAATGCTGTTCATAAAATTGGTCGTTACATCGAATAACTGGATTCAATATGAACAATTGAACGTACAGACTTTAAGTCGCGTTCGAAAAGGTTGAGCTTAATTCAATTAACGGCGCTAAATTTAACGTTGTTGTCATTGATGTTAGATTCTCATGTGTAACAAAAAACTGAAGTTACTTTATGTATTAATTTACTCAGGTAGTATGTGTTTCTATGTGTTACTTATAAATGAAATACACAAAATTGTCATAATCAATCTATCCGATAAAATATATAAATATGGAAAACCGCAGGTTAACATTACTCAAAAGCCTAAATAATAATAATATGAATGATGCAAAATATGTTCTTATTTAATCATTATTTTTAATAAAATCTTGATGATTAATTGATTTAATGATACATAAGTCAGTGTAAAGACAGAATTTAATAATGATACAATCGATAATTTTATACTATAATTTTATTAAAACTTAAAGTTTTATAGCATATTTTTAATGAAATTTAGTGCGAACTGTAAATATATTTTATGAAAATCTTAAAAAAAACTAACTTAAATATAGGTGCTTATGTCTTTTCAACCAACTTGCGTTAATATAATATAACTTAATAACGCGTACAATACAACATTAACAATTTTCATGCTCATATAAATTTGGTAAGTACGCATTATTGTAATGGTTTCCTGGAAAGAAATTTCGTAATACATATATATGTATATTTTTATAATTTCAAAAAATTCAGCAGCCATTGTTAAAATGTAAATCAAAATTTTTAAACCGGCTTTTCCTTTTTTGTAAATGTCACGTGTTAAACATAATTTCTGAGAAATGTATTGATGAATTTAAAAATTATTTTTTTTATTCATTATTTATACGCCACAATAAAAGTATAAAGCTGAAAAACAATACAAAAGGAAATCTACTGTCGGTAATATACGAAAAACTCAACCAACGCTTTAAGAATATAAAACATTTTTTTTTAATAGGTTTCAACTGTCGGAAGCTGGAATTTATTCACCCTAAACGTGTACTCGCTGTTTTTTTGGAGTACAGACGTTTTTTACACCTTTTACATTACAAGCGTTAATTGTTTTTAATTGCATTAAATGATTTGTTTAAAGGCGTCCGGGTAAATATTAAATTTAATTCACGATTCATGTTGTTTTAAAGAATTTAAATGGTAGTGTTCACTCATGCGTTTTTAAATTTTTGTGAAATGATGTTTTAATTTTATCAAACAATTAAGTTAAAATTTATTTTCATAATCGTTTACCTTATTGTGAATTTATATGAAAATTATTTTCATTGGGAATTTTTTAATATTTTCAGAAAAATTATTTTTTTTTTTTCAATAAAAATATCTGTATTTTATGACAACATTAAAAATCGTTTAAAAATATAAATGGTAATGCGCACTGTGAAATATAGTTTTACGTATTAGATTTATGGAACTATACGATTGAAATATTGAAAATATTAATCGACGAAATAAAATGATATTCACAGTATTTTAATTTATAAAAGTTGTTTTGGAGAGTTTATTTCAAAATTTTAATGTGATTGTGATCACGTTTAACGTTTCACGGGCATATAAATATCGATGTTATCATACCAACTAAAGATTTGTTAAGGTCAAATAGCATAATTACGTTTGTAACTGAGCAAACTCAGTTAAAAACGTAACTACCAGTAGGCAGTGACTTAAGTTTTTCTAAAATGGTGTAGCACTGTTAATTATAATTAAATTCTGCGCGCAGTGATTACCAAGTATTTAGTTAGAATCGTTAATATTTGAGTAATCCTATTCTTGGCTGCCGTTTAAACGTAATGCTGGACTTTTTATTAAACTTAGTATACTATAGAAATTTAAAAAAAAGAACAAAAATTAAAATGTTCAATAAAACCAAAAAATAAAGGAAAAATTATTTTGATTTCTTTCGAACAAATTTTATCTGACAATAATATTGGTACAATTGTGTTTGAATTTATTACAAAGAATTATACTTTACAAAAATCTAATTATATTAAGTTTTATGTCTTTTGAGCTTAGTATTGTTTTGATATTCTTTAACTTTAATTGAAAAATTTACCAATATATTAAATATCTATTACAAGTATTATAACATAATTTATAAATTTCTTTTTATTTACATCTTTTATTTGTTTTAGCAATAAAATTGTGTCCTCAAATCGCGTTAACTGTTTTGAAATTAATACCCCTACAAATAGAATATAAATTTAATAGTTACACTATATTAAACACGCTTATTAAGTATTTACTTAGTCAATATATATTGAATGTGATTGAGTAACATTACAATTGTGTAAACTTCAAACCCTTACTTTCCTGTACAACCCCATATTGATAGTATAAAAGATACTAACCTTCTAGGGTTTCGATGGGCAAAAAAATGATATTTATTCTATCGTAAAATGTAAAAACCTATCTAATGTCATAAAATATTGATCATACTTAAATGTCGTGTTTACTTCTATATCAGACTACGAATCACTGTAGGTGACACTTGTGGTAGTTTTGTACAATTGTGAAAAAGGTTTTCAAAAGTCATTTTGAAAAGTAATCCCAACAGCATATCTTTGCTGTTTGCTTGATTTTCCAAGTCCTTAAGTATATATAATGGTAGTTTACTTACACGTGATGCTACATATTATGTTCACATAGTTTGAATTTAAGTGCCCATTGTACTTAATGCTGTATCTACGATATTGAGTAAATAAATATTTATAATTCATCTGGCTCTGTATCACTAAGACTAAAAAAGTTTTTGAGAGTGATAATATATTTAAACAGAAGTGTTGAGCTATTTAGTAATTCATTTAATTCCTTACATGACGCTGATCATAATCTGTATTACTGCTGTTTACTTCCAATTGGTCAACCTACCAGTGATATAACAATAATACTTACTTATATCTCACATTCCACGTAGATTGGTCACTGATAAGGTATTTCGTAACAATATAATACCAACAAGTTCCATAAATGTATGGATTGTCTCAGGTTAATCTAATTAGGCGATGGACAAAGAAGTCGATAATAAATAATAAAACAAAGACGTTAAAGCCTCTATTATTAAACTTGAAATCTTTTGATGACTTTTAAATTTTTTTAAAGAATCATTTCCTTTGGTATTCTTATAGAGAGGAAATATCATTGCAAAAATATTACCAAGATTGATAATTAAATCAAAATATTATACTTCTACTTCAACTTATTAAAGTGAAAAAGTTTGACTCTTCATTTTTCATTTTATATTATTTACTTAAATTCTCAACAAAAAATTAATTTCGATGGATCTTAGATTGCACGCATCATTTATCGCCTTGAACTTTATTTTTTAGATAAAGTTGTTCTTAAATAATAAATTGCATAATATTTAAACTTAAATGTAGTGATTTATAAGTAAATTGAAAATTGAATAAGTTTCTGATTTCTTAAAAACTCACCATTCTTCACTAAATGAGAAAAATTTATGTACCCATTATTTGTATTATAAGAAAACACAATAAAAAACTTTAAAGATTTAATAATCAGTATTTTATTTATGTTTTAATGAATTTCATTTATGGAAAAAACATAAGATACATATATAAAAAGAACTTTGTAATGCAAAAATGGCTTTTATTGAACTAATTTTATGTCTATACTTTTAGTCAAATTATTAAAAGTAAAATATAAAATAAATTTGAGTTTCTAGAATGTTACAAAATACTTTATATGGCGTAGTTAAAAATATGTAATGAAAATATTGCATGATCGTTTCGCCCATTTTACGTTTAAATAAATAATAACTAACGGAATAATATTTTTAAGTATTCTAAGTTTTAAAAGTATACCACATGTCATATATCTTAATCGTTAATTGTAGTGTTGCTGTTATGATGTAATTTCAAATGTATTAATGTTACCAGATATAATAATATTTTATTGTATTTTTTTTATGACTAATAATGAATTTTTTTTTGAATTTCTTTTTGCTAATCTGCAGAATTAAAAATCGAGATCTCCACATGTTAACTTCAAAAAATTACTATAAAAATTCTTGGATCGAGTTTGAAAATTAATTAAAACAAATTTTCCGGTTTAATTCGCTTTAGTTGGCGAATTACTTTGAACAGCTATAAATAATCAAATAGACACAAATGAAAATGGACAGGTAACAAACCCAAGTAGTGTAAAAAAGAGGGGAAATAATGCAATTTATTTTATTTTATTACTCTTAAAAATTACTGAATATTTTATACATGTCACTTTTATTATCTTAAAATTAAAAAAACTAAACAAAAGAAATTAAAATCGATAATTATTTTGCAGTAAAATATTTCCAGCTAAAAAAAAGTTCCGTAACAACTACCAAAACAACCAGTCATAAAATCATACAACAAAATGATTATTCTGTTTTTCAGTCAGTCATATAACCTCAAAAATATACTTTTGCATATTACTATAAATTTCAAACCATCGTAGTACATCATAAAGTCATTTTTACTGTCACGGGACTTTCTGGTCGAAAATGATTAATTTTTTTAAACCTCTGCTCGTAAAAGTAAATACGCAGTACAAGTTGCTGCTTGACATTGTGTTTAACTGGATATAAGCTCTTTGAGTTTATGCGTGTAGCGAAAATAAAAAGCGTGCCATTAAGTTATTTTTCCAACAATTCGCGTACACACTCAATAGTATTTTTTACTCTCTACGGAGTTTTAATAACAAAAGCAAAAAAAGGTTAAACTACACTGCAGCACATCAAGTTTTATGACAGACATGGTAATTATGTGTCTTCTTAATGTTTTTCCTGAAACGCATAATTTTTTGATTAGTATGTATCGTTAAATTACATTGAGTGTAATTATTGTACAACAGAATAGGAATCTCAAATAAAATCTGTTTCAATATTGTTAAGCTCTTTAGCCCGCAGAATTGCTTTTACATTTGAATACATCCATACTCCATTAAAATCGATAAATATTTAAAAAGTTATATGGTTTCGACCTAAAAGAGTAATAATTTGATATAACAAAGATAATCCTCCAAGTGTGCACGATCAGAATGACTCGAGAATTCAGTTGTATGAATACGCTGGAACATAGTATTCCAATAAATGTGCCAAAATTATTATAACCATTAAGTATTATTACTAATTACAAATAGAAATACACATAACATCATGGTCTTTTTATATTTTAGTCATTAGTAGCTAATTGTTATTGAAGTATTAATAACATAATGTTTCATAAAACGTCGGTTTTAAATAAACATAATAAATAATTTATTTTCTTTATGACAACAATAACATCGAGACCATAACTGAGGCAAACAAAATCCAACAGATTTAGTAATTTCCTATTTTAATGACTACAAAATATAACCTTCGTCTTTTTATTCTGGTTTAACCCTTAAAAAAAAATTGGTCAAATAGTGAAAAATATTTTTTTTATATAAATTACCAATATTCGTTGGTATACTGATATTTGTTATTCTTAAACAATAAAAATTCAATATAGTTTTTATTTAAACATTAATATTAATTGTATTACATTAATTTTTTTCAGGTATGAATAAATATATCAATATCAAGAATAATGTATTTTAGAAAAGTAAAGTAAGTATATCATAACAATGTTTTCCCGTGAACTATAATTTTTTTTAAAACATATTTGAAAAATTATTGATTAAATTCAAATAAATTTATATGTTATGTTAAAATTATGGAAGAAATGATTTTCAATTCACACTTTCAAATATCTTATTGAGTTTTAGAAATAGAAATTTTTTATAATATTTTACATTCGAAGTAAAAAAAGTTTTCTTTATGCAAAAAAAAATATATATATCGTTTTTTAAAGCACATTTCAGTTGAATTATATTTAAAACTCATAAAGTAGTAAACTGTAGTAATTAGTTAAATATTGAAATATATAGTTTAAGTATAAGATTCTATAGTTATAAACAAATGGATGATAAATATCAAACCTCGGTCCATTTTGCATGTTTTAAGTCGTTATAAAATCATCGAGCTAAAATTCAATACATTTAGTACATAAATATTATAAAGAATCTTCACATTTATATTTCACTTTTAAGAATAATATTTTAAGTATAATGTGATCAACCAAAAAATATTATAAAATAGATTAATAATAAAAAAAATATCCATAACTAAAAAAGAAAAAAAATACTTTTGAAATTATTTTTATTTTGTAAGTAATTGAGTGAATTATGATAAAAATATCACTTTTATAAGATTTTCTAATAAGGCAATTATTAATAAGTATAAAGCAATTAATAATTATTCCAAAAATATCATATTATAGTAAACATATTATGGTATATTTTATTAAGAAACAATAAAAAAACGAAATACCTCTGTGTAGTTTTATCTTTGTAATTTAGAAAAACAGAGTATTTGTCACCGTTTAAAATATCCATATATCGCAAAACGCTTAAATTTATTTAAAAAAAATAAACAAAAATAACGAAAAAATGTTTATCTAATATCAAATATTGGTTATTACTATTATAACTATTCTCGTCTGGTGATACTCGCTTCCTAGGGATTATCTGTTGTCCTTTTATTTATTGTTCAGTGAAAGACTGAATAAACAATAATGTAAACTTTTAATTCATTCGATATATAAAAAAATATATTCTACAAAATAATGTAAAAACAATTATGTAGGTTTTGATTTATATCATTTTATGTCTTAGAAGACAAAAAAGTATGATTAATGACAATTGCAATAAATTACAAACAATAATATAATTATCAAAAGTACTGTCTTCTGAATTATTCAATAATGTATTTCGATTTTATGTATTAAGAATCACTTGAAATTTTTTGAACACTTAGATATAATTTAACATTTCCCTCAACAAGCCATTCTTCAACACATAAAAACTATTTGCATTTTTAAGATCGCTCTTTGTAATAAACTTAATGTTCATTAACTAATTGATTAATAATTCAAAATAATCCATGTATCTTAGTTTATAAGTGTATAATAGCCACCGGGAAACATTATCTTGTCTTATGTGTAATTGTAGAATTATAGGTTACTTTTTGGTAGAAAACAGAATTAGCCTAATTTCTATGAATATAATTATTTGGCTATATTTTTCTGAATTTATTATTCTCTTTTTATTTTATTTATTTACTCGTGAAGACGAATAATTCTAAAAATTCATTATATGCATATTCAAATTCATTTTTGTTATTTTTTTACATTTTCTTTAACGAGCTTTTTATTGGTATATTTTTTTACCATTAAAAAATGTATTTTTAAAAATATTTTTTAATTAAAAGCAATACTTAGGTTTCACTATTTAGTTTAGCAAATTTATAGTAATAGTTAACCGTTTATATCTATAAAATTAAAAACTTAACAATAAACTAATGATTATTTCTAACTAATGTTTATGATTATACATAATTCCTATTTGTGAATGATTTACATATGACATATGTAATCAATATATTATCGATAAATTAAATTTTTCATTCAACGTGCAAAGTTTATTTAATGTTAGTGTTAATAAATACCTCAACAGGTATCTAAATATCTAAAAAACTTTAAAACTTCAGACACCTTTAAAAATATTTTATCAATTTTTACTTTTATGCAACCATTTTATTTTATATAATATCGATTTGATGTATTCTATATAAATATATTTAAAACACAAAATTGTTTTTGCATTTAAAAAATGCAAACATTAAATATTTACCTAAGTGATTTTATGCACAATATCTACTTTAAATAAAAAATATTCAATGTAATCAAGTTATGATAAACAGGTCACTTTGTATATCATAAATTTGTACCTTAAAAAATATATATATATGTGTCAATTTAATTTGTGAGGTACAATCTGTGTGTGTTTTGTAGTGTACTGCGAGGTTTGTTTGACGAACAGTATTTGTATGACTGACCTGGTCAACGGTTGATCAACTTCTTGTTAGATAGGCGTTATTATTTACTTTTGCATTATTATTATTCTGAGTTCATTGAATTTGTTTGTACTTTTCGATGGTTATACTCATCATTTGTATTTCGTTACAAAAATGCATAACCATGTCATAAAAGGTAACGTGTATCACAGAGATCATATTACACATTATTTAGAATTATTGTGTTGAAAGAAAAAAAAGGAAAGAAAAGAAAAAACAAAGAGTAATTCAGGGTAAGTTAAAAATCCTCATTATTTTTCTTGTTATCATAATTAAAATTATTACTACTCGAATGTATTGCTACCCCAACCGGTTAATGTGATAACTTAGTTATGTTGTCTGTATTTTATGTCACGTTTTTGCAATTTGAGGGTAGTGTGCAAGTGTATTTTAAATTATTGATTACATTAAATGTTATATACCTCTTACTTATTGAATGTTTTTTATGTTTTGTTTACCAGTCTTAATGTTTATATTTTATAGCTATTACTTAAGGCATAAAATTTTAAGTTAACAATGTTCAGTATTTTTACAATCGTGAAAATAAAATTCCATAGTAAATAAAACAGTCATTTAGAAATAAAAAAAAATAAAGAGTTTTATAATAACACTGTTTTTACAGAAAAAAGTAGAAAAGAAATATCTGGGAAGAATACTGTTCATGAAATCCTCTGAAGGTAATGAATGATTTTATAAATACAAATCATTACGTTCAATCATATATTTTGTTAGTTATTTGTATGATTTTATTAGTAAATGCAACACTTGTGTGTAAAATTAACAACAATAAATTGGAGTATCTATGTATGTTTCTTAGTTTATGGTTTAACATCTAGCAAACAGAATTAAGTTAATTAATTTAGTATTCAGAGTTCATAAGCAATAATATTAAAACTATAATTCTTATAGTTAAATAAACAAGTACTGTGGACATAATATTTATATATTTATTTTCGTAGAAAACCTAATTAATTGATTCGATTGTTACTTATTCTAATAAAAATAAACTCAACATTGTATTCAATTCATATTCAAATTAACCAGCAATGTTTTTTTCTAAATTATTGTACTTCTTGAAACGATAATTGTCCAGATAATGTTGCTACTCGTATCCTTAGAACGTCTATTCTCCTGGTAAAGTACGTGATCCGGTCGATCTACTCATTTATTTTACAGTAGTTGTTCTTGGATACAAGAAGAAATATAATACAATTGTTATTGTTATTTGTTATTGGCAATAAAACGTACCCATAGAAACAACACACGGTATGATTAGAAGTTATTCTCCAAAAGCCGCCTTTATACTCCTTCCTTTTGGACCTGCACGTTCTCTACTAATTACATTATGTTATAGTGATGTTTACTCATCCTAACTTTACTCAACATTGTCAAAACGCGAGTCTATTGAAACTTAATGTAAAAACAATGTTCCCATAAATATAAAATTAATTAAATTTTAAAATCTTTATAGAGTATAATAGGTACAAATAATGAAAATTTTTATTATTTTATATATTCATTATAATAAACACTAATCAAATTTATATTTGATTGTTTTTCTATTCAGCTAACAAGTTTTTGTTTACAGTATAATAATAATATATTCTATCTTTTTTGTACAAAAAATGCTCAAATTTTTACTTAATAAATAACTGAAATATGTTTCTTAATGGTACGAGTTCTTATGGGATTCGTGAGTTATTATCCCATTTATTTATGTTCTGGTAATTGGCAATAGCCATAAGCAAAAGACATTTCCTTCCAGAAATCATTTAATGTACTATGTAGTGTGTAAAGCGTGCTACAATTTATTGATTCATTCTTTACTAGTAGAAAGGGGGTGTATTGATTCACAATATCATACAATTAGAAAAATAATGTTTATTTAATATCCAACCGGTCAGGGATATAAAATGTTGACAATTAATAAAATTAGATAGTGACGAATTAACTAATTGCTAAAATTTGTGCAAAGAAAGAAACTTAATTTATACGACATGCGTTGAAAAGTTATTTTAGTTTACTTTAAAGTGCTTTACAAAGTTCCGTTTATTTATAAAATGTATTATCCATTATTATTTTTTTGTGTTTTAGAATGTCTAAAATTATAACAATACTTACGGACAACACTTCTAGTGAATAAAACGTACAACTTTTATTTACTCGTGTATATTAAATAAATAACAAGTAAGATAAAATGTTATACAGGGTGATCCGTTTATAATAACCCACTCAATTATTTACAAAAAAAAATATGATGTGTAATAAAATGCTTATAACTTCCAAATTACTGATCCAAAAAAAGTTTTTTACCAACCATTTTCTTAATTTAATTATTTCCTGTTTTATAAACTAGTTCAAAATATATGCTACAATTAAAAAAAAATAAAGTTTACACCCTTCTAGGTTATGAGGGGTGATACTAAAAAGTATTCAACGATAAATTAGAAACACATGGAACTAAATAAACCAAAAAAATGTTTACAATATTGTATGTATTTTGCAAGTTATAAAGTAGATTATAATAAACCGATCATTTTGTATACTAACCCATCAAAACGATTTAAAGAAAAATCTGTCAAAGCTTGCAAAAAAATACGTTGAAATATTCTAGTTTTAATACTTGAATATATAATATTTTCTTTAAGAAAACCTAAAACGTCCTAACAGCAATTTTTGTTATTTCTCTCGGGATATAATATTTAATAAATCATAGCTTTGTTATGGTTTTTACATTTTCGCATTCTCTAAAAATATTAAATAAAACAAAACAAAAAAGAGAATGAAAAAATTACTTAATGAACAAAGAAACATAAATAGTACGACGAAATACTTGGTTTGTAGTATACACTGTAAGGAGAATTCAGCCTCGAGTACACAAGAATGCCCTTCCAATTAGTAAAGCGTGAAATTCTCTAACACGTAAAAGAAATTTATTTCTTAAAAATGAACTAGTCTTTAAACTTTTTAATGAGTATTGCTTTATTATATTTTTAATTATAATGTAAAAAAAATAAATTTATAATAGTGAGATTGTTATCAACATTTTATTCTATAAATCACCACGGTGTTCAAATATATGGTTTTAATAAAAGTGTCGTAAACATCATGATTGAAAGTGATTAACGTCGATGGTCTCATTGTTAAAAGGAGACATTTGTTTAAATTTTAACGAGCCCTATTTTTATTATAAAACCCAAATTGGTTAAGTAGATCAAATGTTATTAGAGTGCGGATATTTTTTTTTCGTGTTTTCAAGACAATTTTATTCTTTCTTCGAAAAACACTCCTGTCCAGATAAAATCGATTGTTATTTTTTTCTAAAATAAACAAAAGTGTACTTTTGGGATATGAAAAAACTTTTGTACTGACGTATGGTAAATTGTCAGATTATTTCTTACAGTGAGCAGTAAGATACTATAAAAAGACACTAAAACTATAGTTTATATCAAAACTAATGATTATATGTGAATATTATAAAACTTGTTAAATATTTTAATGTAAAAATATAAAATAAATATGTGTAATAACTTTTTTACATAATTTTTTACTTAAAAATTTTAAATAAAACATAAAATATGAATCATTTTGCACACATTTTAATAAAAAAAAATTAATAAAAAAAGTAGAAAATATATCTTTATATTAAACATTAATTACTATAATAGTAATTATGAGCATTCATAAATACAGAGTTACTATTTTAATATTAGCCACTCGATTTCTCTTAAAATAATTATTATTTAAAAAAAATTCTCATGGGTATTTTAAAATTTTATATTTATTTATGTTAAATTTTTCAATTTATTAATAATTAAGTATTTTTTAATTAATCCCTTATACGTTATAAAAACGTAAACTTTATTTTTTTTAATGGCCACGCAAATATTTAACTAGCTTATAAAATAAAAAATGATCTAATTAAGAAAAAAGCTGATCTATAACAACTTTAAATATTTTAGAAGTTATTAATATAATGAAATAAAGATTGGGGAGAGACACGGGTATGATTATTTATTTAATTTGACATTTTGCGCGCATATCTTCACCAACCTGTTATGAGTCCATTGAATCTTAGGGATTTTATCAATAATTAAAAGTAATGACTGAAGATGAGCAGTGGATATTGCAATTTTTATTACTAGTTTTTTGATTCTATTTTATAAAAGTCCTCTGATACGCTCTGCAGTATCATTGTCAACTTTAGGATTATTAATTATTTCTTGACTTTTGTAATAATTAGAATTTTCTTTCCTCATAAACAGGGGCGTATTCACATCTTTTCTGCCTATAAGTATTTCAGATTTTGCCGCCCTTTATTACGTTATGGAGGGGGAGTTAATTTTCTCTATTTTTGCCATAACACTACTAATTCCCTCTCAAATAGAAAGTATTTAAAAATAATTTTCAAGCAAATTTTTGTTTATTAATTAATCATAAAATATACATTATTTGTAATGTATTACATTACAAAAATAAGTAATAAATGGTTGAGAACAAAAAGCACACATAAATGGTAGAATATCACTTATGTAACACATTATATATAATTAATAATTATAAAATTGATGTAATAACATAAATCCCGACATTTAGTTTTCGCAATATGAGTCAATTAAATCTTCGCATTTCAGTTCGTTTAACATTTAATTTTTTGTACTAAGAAATGCAATATTATTTAACTTTATATCAGATCTAAGATAGTTATTGACGCGTTTAAGACACAAAAACAATCTCTCTATAGTACAATAAGACACTGGAACACATACAAAAATTTTTAATGCTATATCAATATTTGGAAAAATATTTTGGATTTAATGAAACTGTTTGTTGTATTTTGATAAATACCGTTTTTGCCAAATTATCGTGAAAATCTTCATTAATAATCCATTTTGCTGGATTAATCTCCAAAATTAACGAACTAAAAATCATATTAGTTAAATTGGGAGACCCGGAATTATCTTCTAGTTTAACAAGTTCAATTTCAAGAGGCAAAGTATTTTTATTTTATTGTCACTAACCTGAGCATACGAACAACAATAATATCTGTAGTTTTATTGTCATTCTTGTACAAAAAGTAAAAAAAACTAGTTTGTTAAAAAAATTAGTTTACTTCGATGTTTGATTTAAAACATTTTGTAGTCTATCACTTTTTAATTTGGCAATTTTTTTGTATTGGTCACCACTTAACCGTATTACCATATTTACATAATAAAAATATTATTGAATAAAAAATAAACTTAAATTAATAATGCACCATGAACGCTAGTTGAATTATGACAATAAGAGTGTCAGATATGATATGTTTTTTAAAACAAATTTTAAGATAACATTAGTCAATTTTTTCCGGTTTAAAAAACTACAGAGACAGCGATAAGAACAGACTGCTATTGTTATCGGAAAATGGAAAAGATTTAACTTTGCTTGTAGCTATCAATATACATATCACAAATACACAATAAATGAAAAAGATTATGATAATTATTAGTAAGTCAATATGTCATAACAACAATAAAAAATAACTCGCTTTTTATAAATTTGTTGGCCTTTAATATTTGTCGCCCCTTAAAATTTGGCGCTGTAATCAGATGCCTACAGTGCTTGCATATAAATACGCCGCTGCTCATAAACGGGTCTGTTTATATAAAACTATAAATGATACTAAATTGTTCAAAAAAAAAGTAAAATTTTGCTCGATACAAAATCATGAATTTTATATTTTTATAAAATTTGGTAGATCATACAAATCAAAATT